TCTGTTTTCATAAGATAGGTAGTAATGTAACTACACGATAACTTTAAAACCAGTCTCTTTGGAGCAAGGAAATGCATCTTTCAGTTGAAAATTCGCTTGAAAAGGGCGAGAATGAGGTTGGAAGCAACATAACTGGAAATCATCTAATTTTCCCAATCTCTCATTAGTTGTTCACAACCTATTATAATTTAAAATCAGATGTACGGAAGTCAACGTTATTTATGCCAAAGAAATGTATCAGAAACGATTATGCATCATGAGGTGGAAATTAAGTATCAAAAAGTTAATAATACTGAAAATGTTTTGTGAATGATTACTACAGCCAAAAAATTATTCTATCACATCAAAAACTTGGAATGCAGATCATTGAAGTTTAAATACCAACTGATTACCTAAGGAAATAGATGAAAACAAGTTAATTCTGATCAAAAATAATAAGAGTTTAGGTTAGTCAGTTAATAAAAAAACTCATTTGATGATTAGAGACGTTGAATGACATGGCTCAAAATCGTTTACAGTTGCGCAAGTGCTTCCACGCATTGTTTCCTATGAAATTCCATTCTTCAGAACTCGTCACCACTTTGTCTTTCTCTTCTTAAGTTTATTTCACTGGATTATATATCTTGAATAGTTTATTCGAACCCTAATATCTCTGCTTACTGCTAATACTTCTACTACATTTACTACTATGGGATTCGAATTGACAATTGAGTCTCTGTGCTAGTGTGATATGGGAACTTGAACTGATGTACGTACGTATGAAGTTCTACTTTGTAAGTGACTGGTTGACCTTTAGTTTTGTGAACAAGTGCTCTGATCAGTGCTCTTTTCTAAATGACTGGATAAAAACCACTGAAGTTATGCTACGCTTCATTTCCTGTACCTTTTTGACAAACTAATCATTGAATCTTCTTATCTTCTTTGTCACATCGGGGTTTTAAAAATGTGTTAATTGGTAGACTGTATATTCCTCAGCACCGTAATAATAAGTTTAAGCAGGTAGGTTGCATACTATTGATTGGTACATGCGATAAATAAGTTACTAACAGGACTCACATAATACCCCATTTCACCAATCGCTCCTTTGATCTTAGTCTGTTTAATGTTAGGTATAAAAACAATCTGCAAGAATAGTACTAAATAAACTTCTAATTACTGTATCGTCAGTTTGACGTGTCTGATGACATGAAGTTGAACACTAATATAAAGTGGATGCCAAAGTGCTGGCAAATTTTGTCTGCGGCTTTAAAAAGGGTTATTTCCATAAACAAGTATATTATAATGAAAAGAATCATTCAAATATCAGAAATATTTATATGGTTCAGTCTGCCACCAAACCTGAATAAATCTTCCAACATACAGATACTATGTCCTTGACAAAGTAGTTCTATCTTTTCAGCTATCTCGAGTGATAAGATGATTTAATCACTAAGAAAAGAAAGATTAGTGGAACATATTTTATGTCTTTGATAGACTATAACTGTAGAGGATATGAGATTAGATTATAGTAAATAAACTTATCGATCACCTTGGTTTCTAGAATTTCCTTGATCAAATTCGCGATTTCATTTTTTCGAATTAATCAAATCCTTATTACATTTTTCCAACTTTGAATCCTAATCGTTCATTTATAGTTGATTTCATCTTAGTAACATAAACAGCTGTTCTCGATAGCATGACACCTGAAACTTTGCATGATCACACTTTCATTATCTTGTTACTTTCGGTGAAGTTTCCTAATGCTTCCAGATGTTTTACGGACAGAAATTTCCAACTCAGTAGAATTAGTCACTTGTAACTACTGACCGAACTCTTCAAAAAGACCTGAACTATTTTCTCTATTTTCGTTTACTATGCATGATAATCATTTCAGGAAATGTGTTACTTATAACAGTTTTCAAGCTGAATAACAATGAAATCTATGAAAATAATTCACCGTTTCAAGCTTCCGTATTTTGTTTTGCTTAAACAAAATCAGCATTCGCATATAGAGGACATAAATATTTAGAAGACAAAATCAACGCGTAATTTAGTATTTACGTTAAGCAGTTGGGTAGAGAAATAAAATCTTCCCTCCCTGTTGAAGACAGACTAAACATTCAATAAGTTAAACTACTCAGATTAACAATATTGTGATGAAATTTTTTTCATCTAAACGTTTGTGAAATGGAGACAATAAATGTTTGTATTTAATTAAAAATAGGAAAATTAGGGGCTAACTAAACAAGAATAAACACTGAAGTTATTATTGTTAGGAATAATTGTAACCTAAAATTTAAGGAGCCATAATCGATGAAGTTAATTGTGTTTTTTCAATTCGATATACAACTAGACAGGTGAATGCATTCGAAACTATGACTGAACGTTTATTTATACAGTATATTTTAGTCGTTGAACTAGTCACCTCAAGTCATTTATTTACTCATTAAAGACAATATTTAATAAAAGATCAAGCAGGATTGACTATCGACTAATATATTTAAATCTATAAACTGCAGACTAAGAGAGGTAGTAAAATAAAATATATTCATTTTAAATACAATAAGAACTTTGAATGGAACAAATGGAACAGAAATTCCGGAATAAATTGAATACATTGTATTTCAGTCTTATTGGGAAACATTAACCAAAGTTAGTTGTATGAAGATCACTCCTCATGACCTTTACCTTTCCCCTGTCAAATCGATTTCATTGACTAATATCTTTGGACCTTGATCTTTCCGATTACTGCTCATACTTCCACTACCTCAACCACTATGGAATTTGGATTGAAACTTGCATCTCTGTGCAAATGTGGTATGGCAACTTGAACTAATGTACGTACGTACGAAGTTTTAGCTTGTAACTGACTATTACTTTTTATTACGTAAATGGTTGTAAGAAGCTGATGGAAAACCATGAAATTTAATGAATTCATATTATTCTGCTTCAGCTTCTGTACTTGTCTACACAGCTTTGTACTTTTATCTTCTGGATGATGGCCCTAGTGTTTCTTCAAGTTTCTACCCCATATAGTGGAACTGTCTTAACATTTGTATTGAAACTTCTGACTTTGACGTTGATTGATCGTTGTTTTGAGTTTCAGATGTTGTTCAGTTGTAGTAATACTGTCCCTGTTTTGATAATCCGTGTCCTTACATCTGTACCAGACAAGCTTTGTTTCTCAATGATTCTGCCCAGATTTTTAAAGGTTTCCACATCTTCCGAAGCTTCACTGTCTACTGTGATTTAGTTGGTGAATGTTGAGTTGTGTCGTATTGGAGAGTCTTGCTTTTCCTATGTGCATGTTGAGAACTGTTGCTCCTGAGGCTGCTGATACACTGATCGTCTTCACCTGCGTTTGTTGTTGCGTGAGAGATAGAAGAGCCAGATAATCTATGAAGTCTAGATTGTCCAACTGCATCCGAGCTGTCCAATTTATTTCATGCTTCCATTGAGATGCTGCAGTCTCCATAGTTGAGTCAACAACCAGAAGACAGAGAAAGGTTGAAAGTAAACAACCTTGCTTAACACCGGTCTCCACATCGAACGAGTCTGTGAGCTACCCTCCATGCACTAATTTGCATACATACAAACGCGTATCAACTTCTGATATTTCTGAATGTACAAACTCAACTTCTTTTTTTAATACATTGTACTTATCCTCTGTGTGTTTTTTTCTAATCAGACGAAAAGAAAAACAAATACTTCATACTTCATAAAATTACTTCTTACATTGTTTATTAGTCATTTGTGTTTATTCTTCTTTAATGTTTAATTATTTTATCTGTTTATTTTTATATTGTCTTTTTTTTAACTTAAATGTTGATTTCTCATTTCGAAGTTTCTTCCTGTTTTTTTTTATGACTTAATTTTAAACCATATTCACAATGGTTATTCGACTACATTGTTTATACGAATGAAAGAGTGAAAAATACTACGAACTAAATCGATTTCACTTTATGCGGACAAACTTAATTGACAAATCAATTAAGTGTGGAACTGACTGATTTGTGTTCTTTGAAAAAATATGAGTTCTTTTGTTTAAAAAATTTAATAATAAACACAATTTATATTGAATTGTTTATGGTACTTGAATGTTCGAAATCAGAATAATTTGAATATAAAAATTTGTAGATTTAGCATCCATTTCAGATTTCAATAGAAAAAAATGTTATTGATTTTAATGCTGTTCACTTGTTGGTTCCCTAGATTTACATTCTATAGGGAGGTGGTAAATTATCGAGGTTTGTAATTGTATGAAATTCTACATTATTATATTGCCTCTTTCTTAATAGTATAAAAGTTCCGATCAGTAATTCGTGTTATATATAACATAAATTTATGTTCAAACGCATTGAAAATGATTTGAATTTCGACAACATTGTAAACTAATCCAATGTTTATAAAATGTTTGATTGAAATTATACATAATTCATTAATAAATATTCCTACTAAGCTATTTCCATTACTTATCATGACTGCTGGTAGTAGTAGTTGAACAATTGTACTGATTAAACAAATATTCTTAGTTTGTTAAATTTTAACTTGAGCCCACTAATTTCAACTAAGGGGAATAGTTATTTTTACTTAATCTAATAAGTAGTGTGAATTAATTAAGACAATATATTGATCAAAACAATCTAAATTTCCCTGTTATCTTTCATGCTATTTTCACTTACTAAAAATAATAATAATAATCTGTCACTTATTATTAGTGTCTGATGATTATTCGTTTTAATTTTATCCGTGCATTTGTATACTAAAAAAGTGAATCATACTTCATAAACCATTAGATATCTTATTAGTAAATTATTTCTATAAAGAAGTTTCTTTTATACGTACAGTGAAATGCATTCCGTAATCTATGCAAACCAATTTCTTCTTTTTTTTTTCAATATTTTAGTACATTCAAAATCTAGAAAACATGATATCGTCATTCATATTTATTTCATTAGCATACATATACAACTGCAAAATATTCATGTATTTTTTTAATTATTTTGGTTCTTTTCCTATAGTAAAAGCAAATGTTTATCCACCGAAATTATTAACACTTTCATCTAGTGCAAAATTGTCTATCAGTCAAAATCCTACAATCATTAATAAAGTTGATACAAGTCGATTAGAAGAAAAATCTATGATTGGATATATTTACGGTCTAGGTACTTTAAATAATCCAATTGATTTAATAAATACAAAAGCATATACAGAAAATGGAATTTTTATTGAATGTACCACATCATGTGCAACATCAGTTAAAGGTATTAATTGGAAGGCGAAGAATTCAGTAAGTCTTCCTTGTTATTACTATTATTATCATTATTGTGCTATGCGCATTAAATTACTGAATAATTATTGGGTTATGCTGTATAGAGTAACTTGTTCAAGTTAATGAATTTACTTTGAAGTTTCAAGGACCAATTTTAAAGCTAATAAGGGAGACTGATTCACGCAACCTTGAGTTTATTCTCAATGTAAGGCTATATCTACTTGAAAAGTTTTGTATCAAATACATTGAATTTCTATTAAACACTCCACACCCAAATAATTTCGTTCATATGCCCAATCACCTCCCAGCTCAGTGAGCCAAAGTAAGCTGGAAGGAAACTAAAGGGGGCCAAACCAAAATGTTCTGTATATCCTAGGGGTAACTAACTTATGGTCTGACCCGTGCTTTTATAAACAGACTACTTGGTTCGGGTCGTTGAAACAACCATGAACATTGATCGGAGGTTTCGGGTGACTTCTCTCAGAATCCTTTACAGTGGTTCAAATATTGTCACTTATTACCTTCTTCTATATATTCGACTCTAGTATTTCTTCATACATACGCATCCGCTTTGGCTTTTAAATCCATAACCTCAATCCTTAATCTCTCCTAGTGTCACTGCTGCTATATTCTTTCAGTTTCTTTCAAAACTTATCTTCTTAATTTCATCTTGTCACGCTAACAGAGCACGAAAACTTAAGGGAATACATAATTGTACCATTCTGTTTGTTGAGAATGTGAACTGGTTGTATGCCTAGAGTGATACTAATTCGGCATAATAACATATCCATACTTCAGTTTATTTATTGTGTATCCTGTTTTGTAAAATGACAGATTGTTTTTCTAATACTTCATTCAAATTCATCACAATATTTCAGCCGGCAGTTACATCAGATATCGATTAAACTGCAAAAAAAACACTTTTTATTGTTTCAAGTTGTTAAAAAGCTTTTTTGCATCAATAGAAAATTATCCCATACTCTTATCTGGACTAATTTTCTCAAACTGAATAAATTCAGATTGTAAAAGTTGCAAACAGTTAAAAATTACACTGAATAATCTAGTTTGTAATAAATGTTTTACTTTTAAGAATTTATGAAGTTGAGATCGAATTCGAAAGCTGATAAAGCCTTGAAAGAGAAAGACACGAAATTAGAAATTAAACAGACTCATATTGATATGTGAAATATATAGCTGCATATAAAATGATAAGACAGTTTACAAATAATCACAAACAATAAACAAACTAGTGTTTTATTTCATTACATGACATAAAATTAACTGGTTGACTAAGTCTGCGGACCGGTAGAAACTAGATTATATAATAGATGAATCGGTTGTCCTATGATTGACTGCATTATATTTCTACATGTGTATCGTCTAGTAAAGGCTTTCTCTTACTCACCAGCTTTTCCGATTCATAATCGTTAATAGGATGAAAATTTTCTCCCTGTCCTAATCAAAATGTTCTGAAGTTCGAAATAGTTGATATACCATTTTTGTAATGTGACTACATGTATCTAAAAATGTTTCCAATTATTTTAAACATAATATGTAATCAAGAAATTTTTAAAAAAAGGGCATGTTTTCAAAGCTTTACAAACCTATGCTAGTATAAGATAAAATAAGTATGAATCTTTTGCATGATTATTTACCCGATAACTGTTATCATGTGGATATTTTAAATGAAAACTTTATCTTCAGTTATATTGTTTTATATCTTTTACTTTATGTATCTATCAATCTATAGGATGAACTAACATAATGAATGCAAATTATTTCCATCGACTGTTAATTATGCATTGCGTATTCGTGTGTTCTAGTATTAGATTTATTTGTTAATAATAATAATAATAATAACAATTGTGGTGGTGTTTGGTTCTGTGAGTTGGATGTTTTGGTTGTGGAGCTTTCATTGTTCTTCTGAATAACATCATCAGCACAAACGTCAGATAGAAGTGAAGCATTCGAATTTCTCCACGTTTGACCTGTAGCTTGTTCTGCTAACCTCGATATTCTCCAGCTCGTTCCTTTTGATAATGACGAATGTGTCGTCTACATAACGAACCCACATTTTTGGCTTGATCACTGGTAAAGTCGACGCTTCTAGTCTCTTTATTAAAGCTTCCGCGATGAGTCCTGATACTGGTGATGGTGGATGGATCCAACTACTCCATTAAATCTGTCACACAATTCTTGATCAACTCAAGGGGATTTAAATCGACGACGACGAAACGCTGATATCCTTCGACGTAACAGCCTTATTCACCTCAATAGAGCCAAGCTTAGCTAAAGAAACTCTTTCCTTGGTCCTCATCAACGACAAAATTCTGCACAAATATACAAAGCTTCAGAGTCAAAGTCTGCTTGAACTCATCGATCTATGCTTAACAACGTATTTTCAATTCAACAACATCTTCGATGACATCAAATTCACGATGGAAAAGGAATCAAACAACAGTCTATCATTCCTGGATGTTATTATCAACAGAACTAACAGGAAAACTGGAAACTCAAGTATTTCGGAAGCCGACCCACACAGACGTAATTCTCAACTACGGTAGCGACAACCCAAGAACCCACAAAATCAACTGTATACAAACTTTGTTCAAGAGATCGAAGACACACCGCAGCACATATGAATCACTAAAAACTGACGAAAAACACCTCTTCCAAAAGAACGGCTATCGACGCAACTTCATCAAAAAACACCAACCGAAATCAAGTACAGCAACCAATAAACGGATCATCCTACCATACATAAAAGACATATCGGAGCATACAGCACGACTACTGGAACGATTTGGAATAGGTCTGGTACACAAACCAACGGAATCACTTCAATTAATCGTATGTAACCCAAAGCACAAAATGACAAATAAGGAAAACCAAATATCATCTACAAATTAAATTGCTCAGACTGTGAACAACACTACATAGGACAAAGTGGACGGCCTCTTCAGCTTCGTTTACGTAAACACCAATTAGAAGTCAAACGCCACGAAAACGCTTCGCTCATATCAGTACACACCGACAATTATGGACACACATTCGATTGGAACAATGTGGAAATACTGGGTGGGGGGAGGACAAAGAACACTAGGGAATTTTTAGAAGCTTGGCACTCAGGTCAATCAGCAATCAACAAACACATCGACATTGACCCAGTTTATCAACCAATCAGGAAAATCATAGGTGACATAGGATCAAGAAACAGATCAAAAGGGGGATACAATCAAAACAAAGGTACAAACAACGACAGGTTTAAGGTCAACAGCAACCAATCAAGATTGAGGTTAACAGAACAAGTTACGGGTCAAACGTGGAGAAATTCGAATGCTTCACTTCTATCTGAAGTTTGTGCTGATGATGTTATTCAGAAGAACAATGAAAGCTCCACAACCAAAACATCCAGCTCAAAAACCAAACACCACCACAATCATCCACCTGAGCTACAAATTTTCTCCACAATCTCAATAATAACATTAGTAATAATAATCCCTTCATCCACTGCTTATTCGGTACAATATATATATATATATATATATATATATATATATATATATATATAGAGAGAGAGAGAGAGAGAGAGAGAGAGTAAATGAATAAAACTAAATAACATTTCTGTAAGTAAACAAGAATTTCACAAGAGTAAATAAGCTCTGTTTTCAAATGTATAGGTTCTTAGTTAAGTGATGAGCAAGCTGCTTGCCGCCACTCTGGGGCTACTGGCAATCCCGAGCCCGTATATAGGAGGAGGGTTGGGCTTAGGTTTGGCGACCCCATATCATTGAAAACTGATTCGCTAAAAAATGCTAACAAGAAAAAAATAATTCAAACCATTTTAACTCTGTGCTGAGAGTTGGAAGGTCTTCTCTCAGAGGAGTTATGGGATCTCATGATGAAAGCTGAATTCCTTCGGAAGTTACGAGGCCGATGCCCCTTCTGACAACCAGAGCAACCATTGTTTTTGGTACATAGAGTGTTCGAACACTGTGGGAAACCGGAAGACTGTTTCAAATTGCTGCAAAGATGAAAAGATACAACGTGAAGGTGCTTGGAATCAGTGAAACCCACTGGACGTATGTTCGACAACAGTGACTTGCTTCGGGAGTGCTGCTTTCATACTCTGACCATGAAGAAGAAAATGCCTCACAAACAAGAAGTTGCACTGATGCTGTCAAAATGGGCACAAAAGGCGCTGACAGGATGGGATTCTCATGGAGCCCGTATCATCAAGGTATTCTTCAAAACAAAGAAAGGGGGCATTACAATGAACGTCATCCAATGCTATGCAGCTACCAACCACACCAATGAAGACATGACAGATCAATTCTGTGAGAGGCTGCAGTCAGTCGTCTAGAACTACCAAGCGAATGGTTTGACTGTTCTGATAAGAAACTGAAACTCTAAGGTTAGAATGGAAAGCACTGGTTATGGAAACATGATGGGACGATATGAACTGGGATAAAGTAACAAAGACGGTGAGAGATTTGAAAACCTATGTGCCGTCAAAAAATTGATCACAGCCGGCACAATATTCCCACATAAATGCATGCATTAAGCTACATGGATTTCATCGGATCACACTTCACAGAACCAAATCGACCATATTAGTATCCACAAAATGTTCATAAGGATGACGGAGAATATGGCAATCAAGAGACGAGCTGATATAGCGTCAGACCACCATTTGATGGTCACTATGATGAAACTAAAAATCAAGAAGCACGGGACAACGGGAAGGACAACATAGAAGTTTAATACGGGATACTGACAAACTCAACCAATACAAGGTGTCCATCAGCAATAGGTTCCAGGCTTTGCACGATCTACTCAATAGAGAAGAAACTACCGTGGAGAACAACTGGAAAGGGATCAGAGAGGCATCCCACTTCAAAATGTCAGGAGGTTCTAGGCTACAAGCAGTACCATGTTAAGAAATGGATCACTTTCGATACACTGGATAAGATTAGAGAAAGGAAGAACAAGAACAGAGAAGACCAAGGCATAAGCTGAATACACAGAAGCAAACAAGCAAATGAAGAAGAGTATCAGAGCCGACGAACGTAAATATGTGGAAGATCTAGCAATGACGGCGGAAAAGGCTGCAACAGAAGGCAGCTCGAGACAATTGTGTGATACGACAAATAAGCTCGCTGATAGCTATTACAAACCAGAACGACCAATGAAAAGCAAGGAAAGCAAAGTATTCAGAAACATTGAAGAACAGCGAAACAAGTGGGTAGAGAACTTCGAAGAACGGTAGAATCGACCAACCAAACTGAACACACCTAACAGCTGAGCAGCATCCACGGACGTCTCAATCAGTGTTGGCCCAACAGCAGTTGAAGAATTCAGCATGGACATCAGACAAATCACCAGTTGTAAGGCAGCAGCACCTGGAAGCAGTCAAGCCAGCCATTACAAAAATAAACAGGGACAGTATTACTACAATTGAACAACGTCTTGAACTCGAAACAACTATCAACCAACACTGACGTCAGAATTTTCAATACAAATGTTAGGACAGATTTACTGTATGGGTCGGAAACTTGAAGAACCACTAAGGCCATCATCCATAGGATACAAATATTTATTAACAGTTGTCTACACCAATTACTTCGGATCCTTTGGCCACGCACCATGAGCAACAACCTACTGTGGGAGACGACAAACCAGATTCCGTCAGACGAGGAGATCAGGATGAAGCGCTGGAAGTGCATAGGACACACACTATGGAAAGCACCCACCTGTGTCACAAGATAAGCCTTCACTTGGATCCCTCAGGGTCAAATAAAAAGAAGAAGAGCCAAGAACACATTACAACGAGTATTGGATCAGACATGAAAAGAATGAACAGCAGTTCAGAAGAGCTGGAAACGAAGGCATAGGACAGAGTAGGCTGGCGAAAGCTGGCTGATGGCCTATGATTCATTGGGATTCACAGGCGTAATTTAGTAAGTATGTAAGTAGGTAAGTTAGTAAGTAAGTACGTAAGTATGTAAACTGTTAAAGCATTATTTCGAAAGAATACCCAAATTCACATACGTTTCTGCAAATATATGAATAAACTAAAACTCTGACAGAAATACCTCTTAGATATCAGTAAAATTCTTTTTCAGTGAGTTGAATCTAAGTAATAATATTAATAATAATAGTAATAGTAATGATAATAATAATAATGAGTCCCATACCAGGACGAAGCAGCCGTCCAGTGGTTCCAGGTTTCTTATGGTGGTCTAACATAGATCGATTCATGGTTTCAAAATGTGTAATAATTTTAATGTTATCATTAAGTGATAATATTATCTCGCATTTGGATCCAGTATTTTGAAATATTTTACCCTTGGATTTTGAAATTTACTAGCCATCATTAATTAAAATGAATGCTTGAAATATTCAAGACTAATTAATATCATCTCCTTTCACTGACTGCATTCTTAACTCTGTTGTCGTTATACTGTTAACAAACTGAATTCAAGTTGGCGACAAATTAAACTCTATATTTGTTCCACTAAGAATAATATAAACATTTGTGTTCTCTTAAAAGTTTGAGTATTTTAATATAACTAAAAACTATTTTCTTTCTATCAAGCTTTCTTTTATTTCATAATTTCATGAAAATTAATTGTAAATCCTAATTATTAAGTAAATAGAGATATTTATAAAAAGAATCAATATTTCTCTGTGATTAGGATTGTATTAGCTTAAAGTAAGTTGTAATTAATTAGTCATTAGACAATGCATTATTGTTAAGAAACTAAACATGAACACATCAATCCGTGTAATGGAAAAAATTTCAAATTATAAAACTTGAAACACTAATATTTTCATTATCCATATCATATCGGTGGAGAAAATTTACAGCTCATGTGTAACTCTGGTAAATACATTCATATCTTAAATTGTATTTCACAAATTCCATAATACCAAATACTAAAAATAAACTTCTATTCTGAAAAAATCAATTATCATCAACTGACGATAGTATTAATGAGAAAATAACATTTTACCTAGTAAATATGCCTTGTAATAGAATTTTTTATACAATCTAAGTTATTGAATGGTTCGACGTAATGTGTGCGTATATGAGTGTATGCAGTATGCAGTTAGTACCAATCAATAACATTACAAATGTACTACTGAAACAACATAATAAGATTGGTAATTAGTATGAAATCAAACCAATAATTTTGCAAAGTATGAGACTATACAGAGTTTCGATTTATATTTATGCAGTATGAGTTGGACTGCATCATGAATAATTATCTAATGGCTGATGAATGAGTTCGTTACCCAATAACTTCACTAGATGATTTCATGCTATGCTGGGAATCGTCTGAAGTTAGGAGTGTAGACCATTAAATTCTAACTCACTGGTCTAAAAACAGTATATTCACTTCGAAAACTGAATGTCTTCAGGTCGATCTCTGGTTACACTACAAGCACATACTTTAGAGGAGTTTCATATTAAGACGAAACACATGCCCTGTACTCTTAGATTTATGGTCATTTCTCGGAACATATTAATCTCTGATGAAACTTAATTTCTACTTGCTGAAATATTTACGCTTATCAATTAATTTACAGAAAATATCGATGTTCTAATATTATTTAATGTCATTATTTGTATTCAGATAATGATCGAACTCATAATTTAGGAATACACATCAGTCAGTTAACATTCACTGTTTACATCAATATATAGTGATTTCTATGGTTTCCAATATTTGCACTGATAAAATTAGATCAATTAAGATAACTAATGAATAACACTATCGCCCCTAGAAATATTTTAATCTATTCTCGACACATAAATGTGTTTTATTTGATTTTTTTATCATAAACGATTAATAATGCCTAAATTTATGTTTCAAATTTTGCATCTGTTACAATAAATTAGCTTTAAGGTAGGAGGTACAAAAGTTATAATCGTCATGTTAATAATACATTCTTTTTTTTCAACTCACTAATCGTATGTATGCTGTATATGTGGGTTGATTAACTTGACATCAAGTTGAAACATAGTATTTTGTCAAATAAAAATGCTAACAATATGATGAAAATATCAACATTACAACTTTTTATTCAATCAAGTATCAATCTTTTTTGTATAGTATTGTAAATATTTGTTTATCTGACTAAGTATAAAGTTAGTAATATCATAGTTAAAATAATATTTCTAATTACTTTAACTATACAATGCAATAAATGAGGTTGTGAATTAGTGTTTTAGCTTATGATTGTTAGAAAAAATGTACAAAAATTTTTCAATCACAAATTGTGTAGAAATTATGTTGACCGTGAGAATCACTGTGGGAACAAACTAATCGATATATATTTAAGATTTTGTTCCTTAAATTTTAAACTACTGTCATCTTTCATCATCATAATACAACTTTAACAATGTACAAGAGTAATCAAAAGCAGATATCCTTTTTAGCTTGATTTGTCACAATATAAAATAATCGGAAGGTATAACAATGCTTTGAGATTTTCAATGGTTCGATCTGTGATCTCAATAAAATTCTAACATAGTCTAACGTCTACAATAAAGGCTGATCTAATTTTAAGCTATCTTAATTAACAAAGAAGATGAAACTGTGAAATGATAGTGGGGTAAGACATTTATGAAGACTATTTAGCTACAACATAATTTTCCTCACAGACTGACATCACCAGAACAAATATTACAAACGCGGGAATAGTTGAATGAAGTTCGAAAAGTTGATCGACGGGTTTAAACTTAGTTTTTTAGATAGATGGTACATATGAAGGATTGGGAGACTAAAAGCTTCCGGTCTTGTCCCTGAATGAATTATTAGTGCGCTAAACTGTGAAAAAGCACTTGGTGTTTTTCACAATCCTTCGGCTTACATTAGTCCATAATGAAAACAATTTTTCTATTGAATTATGAAACAGAGTGGATCATAATGTTGTTTCTTTACTTCCTTTTGAAGTTTATAACTTTATAGTCACTTCTTAAACTTACAATGTTGAGATTTCGTCAACTATCAACCCAACAGATATGATGAAACTTACTAGTAAACCAGTCAGCTATTCTACTCCGTATGGTCAAACCACTTCTGAAGCATCATTTCGTACAACACGAAAGAGAAACCAATCCCAAATATTCTTGCATTGTAACGTATGTTGTTAGAATATATGTTTATATAAATAATTAGGTATTCATTTTAGTATGCTTTTTCGTTGTTTCAAATTTTTTCCCATTACAGACATGGAGTCACAATTTACATGTACAATCAGGCATTAACAATGATGATGATGATGATTATATTGATGACAGTTTGTACAATCGATTTCATAGATTATCACATAAATCACAATATACTGATCCTGTTTGTGAGGTTGGCTTGAAATCGGTTAAAAGTCGTATACAAATTAAATGTGCTTCTGGAAAAAGTCAAACATCATCCACACTTTTATCACACACATTAGTTGGATTAAATAAAATCACTTGTTTTCCGTATTATGATAAAGAAATAGAGAATAAATTGTCCAAAGTAACACGTTACATTGATGAACACCATAAAGGAATTAATTCTCAATTTATATTACATAGTAAAAACAATCCCTCTGATGTAACTCAGTCGGATTGTTTTATTGATGAAGGTAATGGTCTGTCACAAGCAGCTGCTTGTATCTATGTTTTATGTCCAGGTAAGTGTTTCTATCTATCTTTTTATCCTCTTTTTTATCTATCTATCAGTCCACATATATTGCGATGACTAAACATTTTCATCACGAAATGCAAAACTGTCCTAATTTGCTACACCTCGTCATATCAGAACAGTGACCTCGAAGTGAATGGGATCCTTGGGTTTCAGGGGTCAGTGGTTCATTGCGAAGGAGCTCCAAACGCGAACATAAAAGCTGTCCATTACTGCTCTGACTACCATCAACCAGTGATGATAACTAATTTCATACTGTAGAATTTTCATAACTACCAGTGTGCCTTTGAATAAAATACTATGGAAAATAATGGAACATTTCCCTTAAGAAATATACTACTCATAATAATGTATTGAAATATTTTGGAGTTAATTCATGTATGATCATATCCAGTTTTTGATTGATTCAATCATAAATTCATCTATACGCGAATTTTTTATCCAGTGCATGCTACAAAAATAATGTCATAACTCTTCTTCCGTAAACGTTAATCAGTTCTGAAGACTAAAACATACAATACATAAGAGTTGCTTCATTTGAAAATCATCAAGTCATTTAGTCGACTAAGCACTTCACAATATTAATTATGGACGTTTTATTTTCATCGTCTTAACTTCGTAAACGACACTTCCGCCACGAGAAGAGAATGAGTAGAACTTCTTTGACAGTATCTTTATATTTGTGACCATATGGGAGCACTTTTGGAGACGGTCAAACTCTCCCCACTCTCGGTAGTACCAGGGCAATACATTAGTGATTCACTTCAAAATGTTTCAGAATTTCTCGGGAAATATCTTGTGTCTCAAACTGAGTGAGGCTAAGATTGTATCACTAAAAGCCAATCTAGTAGTTATGACGTTAAGCATCCATTCGGTAACAAGAAAATTCTAGGTTGGATCCGTCGTAGGGTTACAGGTAAGTACTTCCGAGCAGTTCCACACTACTATGAAACAGCACTCCAATGCCCTTTGACTTTTGATGGTTCCCCTAATGAGATAAATCTTTAATGAATACAGTTGATAAATCAAAGTTTTCTTTGTAAATGTCCACTGAAACACTTTTCATTTGGAAAGTAAATATAAACTAAATAAATTTGTATTCATTTCATATGCTACAATTGTTCATTTTTACCAATATCACCGATGTTGTTTAAACACATAATCTGTATATAAAATGTTTGTGAATACAACACTTTACCTTGTTGTTAAAAAGAAAATAGATGAATATCAAACAGACAGACATTACATGTGCATACATACAATGATATTTAAATAGTCTAATTAAATGAGTAATCTTAAAGCAAATAAGTTAAATACTTCCATTATGTTCAATGATCGATTTGTTTATAATCCATTAGAAAAAAAAACTTTTTAAAACTAGTCTATTCATGAACATTAGTAAACATGTTTAAACAAGACTGCATCTGTACATATATCATTACTCAATGACAAGTTGTTTTTTACCACTGAATAAAATAAGTGAAGGTTCTCTGTTCTTGTCTACTTATCCAATGTATGCATGTATGTGATCTGTATTTGCATACAAAAACATATACAAACCACTCAGTTACATACATTGCAAATAAAATTCAGCAGCATTATTGCTGCGTGTCATATAGCTCAACCAGTATTAAGGCCAATGATTAAGTCAATAATCACAAGGTAACAGTTTTTGTTGGCCAAAACGAACATGTAAAGAATGATATGTAATGCACAAATAAACTAACCAGAATAAATTCGGGTTACTCATAAAACAAATAAGTCAGTCCAGTTAGTCTTGACTTTCACAATATTATCCAGGTTACTATGTTAGGTATTTGAGAAATACTCATGGATTAAATCAACTAAGGTGTATACAAGGCAAAAGGTAAAGAGAAAAATAATACAGGAAAAAAGAGTAGCACAAAACTGTATGCATGGTATACAAGCATACATTTCTTAAAAATGCTCCGTCTGTTATAGATAAGAATGAAACAAGTTTAGGCATAATAGTGAATAACAATTCATTGCATCTACAAGTTGTTCAGCATGTTCATTCCGATAATAATTCAACAAGCAATCATTATTGTTATTTGATTTAAACAAACTGTTATTTCTAAAAAAAAGTAAATTGACAAAGTACTTTGCTGATTTGTTTCCACTTAGATTTTACTGCATACTCTCGTCACAGTGAAATTTACATACAAAAAAATGGTTTCTTTCTAAAAAAAATCTCATGTACATTCAAAGGTTTCCTCTTATGAAACAAGATTTTAATTGATTATTATGAAACCACTATATTAATATCCTGAGAAAAACTTTGAACATATAACAGTGAGTAGAATTTGTGGATGTTAACCTATCTCCTAGCTGAATTTCATCCAACTGAGATGTTATTGCACGAAAGACAGCTAGGAAATCAATGATTTATACTCTAGATTTTCACTCAAGTGACTGAATGTTTACTAGTTATGTGATTTGAATATATTTCAGTTAATGTTTTATTCACAGTAATGAATAAAATAATTTGCGACAACCTATAAGCATGGATTTATCTAATATTTCATGATGTCAAGTGTTTAGTTGGCAGTGAGAAAATAATTAGATTTAAAACCCACCACAACATAACGTCCCGATGGAAAACCATGATGTGTGTAATTAATGAGATCAAAGGTCAAACCCTTACTCACTGGTGTGATATTATATCAGGACCCCACTATAATGAGAGTTGATTACAGCTGGAAATTTTGACAACTGGATAGGGGAGATTCAGGGGTTCAATAAGTTTATGGTTACAGTAAAACTGAAAAGTTAGACATTCAATCCTGTTTTGGATCTTAAAATTACACTGGTAGAGAATCACTTCTCGAACAAAATAGTTGAAGGCTCTTTGATTTGCATGAGAAAAATTCATCACAAAATCTACACTCAAATAATCAGAAATACAATCTCATCCATCATATAGGAACATCTCAAATTTTGTTGTTTACTCATCTAAAAATGATGATAAACACATAACAGTTTCAAATAATATAAAGTTATGTACTGCCAGTTGGAATTAAAGTTAAAAAGTCAAGATTAGAAACTGTAAGTTCAAATGATGATTGTGTCTCAGGTCGATAAAGGAACTCATGGTCTTTGAATAAATTTATTTCAAATTTTTAAACTTAGAATTGAATTTTTCAGTTTCAGTCAATTTGCTATATTATTTTTCCTGATTTTAGGTAGGATTTTAATGATAGCTAAATTTATCGGCTCTAAAACTTCCTATATATAGTGAGAAAATCGTTATTATCTGATTTTTTTAGTTAGTTGAGATCTACTTGACTGACTAGTCTATTAAGTATGAAATACTTAAACTTGTGGTAATTTATCTACCTACTTATGAGTAGGCAATTATTAACAATGAAATATACAGGATGGTAGAATCCATGACATACGTTTCGACCTACACCTATTCCATCCATGCTAATAATGCTTGTGACTTGGCGGCAATTTCAAGGCAATCCACAAAGGATGCACCAATTCCAAAGTGACTGGTCTATTGCAGTTTTAAAAATCAACAAGAAAATTTAGATAACCTAAAAAAAGCAAATGAATTAACTAAACAGGAGTTCGTTCATTCGTTTAATTTGATTTTAGAAAAAAATAAGATTCAGTATAGAATATGAGTATAGTTATCACCACAACCTTTTTTTTCATTTTATGGTTAGGTCAACCGGTGGCGTGGTTTACATTCGGTGAAAAAGTCGCTCTTGGTTCATCTGCTGCTTTATTTCTTGTATTGAGCATGTTATTTTGTTATATAACACGTCAACGTCGTCGTGCTAAACGTAAAGCAGACATGTCACCCGGGCAACAACATGAAATTGAACTGATGTTATGAAATTTCAACTCATTCATATTTCTATGTCTCCCGTTTTCTATGTACAGTGAATGCAGCATGGTATTGATTTCGATTGTTATAATGAGAGTGTTTCCTTATAGTTGTGTATGTGCGTGTTAACTTTATCTTCATACATTGTATCAATTGATCATTTTTTAAAATATTATTTTGTCTATTTTCATGTGATATATTTTATATATGAATGAATTCTAGTGTACAGTCAATAAAAATTTCGTTTAATTTGTATCATATTTCTTTTTTTTATCGTGTACACTTTTTTGCTTTTCATTTTTTCTATTTGGTATTTTAGAATTCTTTATGTGTATGTAAATGTATATCATGAATGTATATATATATATATATATATATATATATATATATATATATATAAATTACACATGCATCGCCAGCGTATTTTCCTTTCATTTGTTAAGTAACTGGGGATCGTCTACGGGTATACATGAAATTTTGAGGGTACCGATACTACTTGTAGCATTAGAACTTATATCAGCCAACTTCATGGTCTGATACGTTACCAATGAACTATTCAAGTTGTAACTGATCTGTAGGACAGAGATCTGCAAAACTAATTATTCACTGAGTAGCAACTAATTTGATGTTCGTTTGGTCACTTAGGATATATCGATTTCTATCGACCAAATACAATGTGCCAACTAGTCTGTCTATTCATTTCTTGCCAAATCAATTGGTCATATTAAACATTCCACCTGCAAATACTGGAGAACATACGTTTATTTTAAAGATTAGTAGATTATTGACTTTTTCCGTTTCATGTAATTTTGCCATTAACAGATTTTGAAACTTTATTGCTTCTACTTTGAAGTTAAATATCTAGGAAGGAAATCTTGAACTCTGTTTTATTATTCTGAATCAGTGAAACCACCTATGTCACAACTGAAAGTGTAGGTTATTGGAGAATGCCTTTTTCCTCCTCATATGGGGAATCCTCAACAAGACACATCTTGGTTATTAACAGTAGTAAACCCAGTTCTTTCAAAACTCAGGATTAGCGTTATTCTAATATGTCTACTAGATCAGCAAAAGAGAGTGTACTTTAAATATAAAATAATGTTTTTTTTTAATTACCTGCAACTTCATAAAAATTTCAGAAACTGTTTGAGTTATGCTGTTATTGGTATTCAGGATTGAATTTTGATTAGTTATAGAATTTTTGTGTATCATAGCTGACAATTCAAACAAATTAGTGGCTCTGTGAACTTGTTAGCCAAATGAATACACTGACCAATCATTGCTAGACCACCATTAGAAACCTGGAAGAAGGTGATGACCATTTCGTTCTAGCTAATCGGTAGTGAGCCCATTGCATGATATTCATTATAGAAATATGGAGACTGTTGTTTTTCATTGAAATCATGAATCAGTCATCGTAGAGAAATTCTTGGAGTTCTATTGAGGAGCCGTAACGAGTTGGAGTTCAACACTGTCTGGTGTACGCAGTAACTACCGAAGATAACGGATGAGGTTGTGCAAGATCCTTAGAATGATCTAAGTTAGACATCGACACCGTTTGATGCCGGCTCAGTGGTCCAGAGATTAGGCGTTCACGAGCAGGACAGAAGGTCCTGAGTTTCAATACTGTGAGTAGAAGTTGTGAATGTGCACTGCTGAAGAGTCGCATACTAGGCCGAAACAACCGTTTATTGATTCCAGATTTTTAATGTTGGTCTAACAATCAATAATTTTTTCGTGACCTCATTAAAGAAAAAATAATCTCCATAACTCTGTAATGAATATCATAATCAAATCACTGATAAAATAATTATGTTAACCTAACTACCAACAGAGATGAGCCTTAGGCCATAATCGTACAGGATTAATCACTGTTTATGAACCCCATTTCATCAATAGCATAAATAAATAAAGTTGACCTATATGAAAATTTGTATTTGATTCATCGTACTCAGGTTTGAATAAAGTATCTATGTCTATTCATGATTAGAAATGTTGGTGTGCATGTTGGCATATCTTAGATCGTTATAAGAAAAGAATATTAGCATATACTTACTTTTACATTCCACTACATCCCATTTTACGCAATGCTAATATATATTATCAGTTGGTAAGACTTATTTTACAGTATATACTATCCAAGCTAAATTAATTATTTGTGTGTTATGAATCCTGTATTTCAATCTAAAACATTCATAGGATACGTGTTATACCTTGAGTGATTATTATTTGTGATAATCAGCCTTATCAGACATGGTAGCATGAAGGCTTATTCAATAAACAATTAATCTTTAGTTTGAAACATTCATCCAACGTAGCTGTCACATATAGATTAATTATAAATAACAACTATTTTGTGTATTCGTTTGTATTTAAAGTACCGCTTGCTGCATAAGTAAATCCTCATCTGTTTCGGGTGATCTTCAACATCCAATTGCTAAGTTTTGCAGATTGGTGATATGCGCCAGAATAGTAATTAAACTCCACATTATTTGCTAAGTACATGAACAAGTTTCATTCAGTAAACAGAATCGGTGAGTTTTATTGTTATTCAATAGTATATGATAATCGATTATTTCATTAGACAGAAAATTTACTCCAGCATTACAAATGTTTACCTGTTTATGTATTTAATAATAAAACAAGCAAACATGAAAATTGATTGCATTTCAGTTTCACTTTACCTTTCAGCATGCACACCAACAAACTGAAATTTCTAATTTATATGGCTTAAAGAATCCTACCGAAAAGTTAATTCTGCTCGTATTACCATTTTATTAGAACCTGTCATAGAAAGAGTTTTGTGAAATTTAACAATTTTATCACAAGAATACACACACACACCCTTTAAAAATTTTATATCTACTACCATTAACAGCATTCAGTTAAAAATGTCACTGATGTGGTTGGATAAGGGCATAACTTCTTGAAAATATCTCACCTCGCTGGTTTATTAGATACGAATAATACTTAATGTACTTAAGTAACTTCACTGTAGTTTAATGAGTCAGAATAACCTCTTTATATTTCCGTCATCTGATTTCCCATATTGGTCCTTTCCATCTAGTTTTCTAACAGAACATTCACTGATAAAATCATCGTACTTCATTTCTGAAGTCTTATATCATTTCAAAAAATAACCCATATGCTTAACTAAATATTATAACATTTATCAGTAAAAATTTCATCACAAATTCACAATGCACGATTGTTCACAGCATAGAACTTCTGACTTCTAGACTACTTCACATAAACTTTCCATTAGGCTTAGTTGGTTTTTCAAGATTTTGACCTCATTTGACGTGACAAAATGAGCATATAACCAATCAAATAATCCAAATGCTAGGGGGCAGAAAGATTCCAACCTTTAACACCATGAGACTCTCGTTGTTCAGATAGAATCATCAGGGTTTAAAATTTATTTTTATTTTAGGTGTGGAGATAACACGTCTGCCCCTACTGCTGCTCTCTTATTGGATTCATTTTCCATAAATCAGAAACGTGACTGCAACTGTCCAATAGAAAGGAAGATAAGTTCATGGTTTCCATTTTCCCTACTAGTTACTCAAAGCTGAAATCATTATTCAATCACCGTCAAACCACCAATAGAAATCTGGTAGCAGTGGATGGCTGTTTCGATCTAGTTTGGGATTCTTCAGCAGTACGTATCCACGACTCCTTCAGCTCGCAGGATTCAAACACAGGACCTTCGGTTCTGCGCATGAACACCTAATCTCTGGACCACTGAGCCGGCATCCAACGGTGTCGATGTCTAACTTTGATCATTCTAAGGATCTTGCACAACCTCATCCATTATTTTCATTAGTTACTGCCTGCACCCGACAGTGCTGAACTCCAACTGGTCACGGCTGCTCAATAGAACTCTGAGAATTTCCTCACGAAACTAAGCACTGGTGAGTAGACTGTACGATTATTTCAAACTGTCTTTACCACGTGTTTCGACAAGTGTATTCCAAAGTGAAGCTAATTATATTTTAAGGAAATGCTTGTTGGGGTTGCATTTCCTACTAGACACAATTACTCCAACAATTAATGACTTATAAGAAAGAAAACTTTCGTTCTTTCGTTACCGGATAACTTCATCAAAGAGAAAACAAGTTATATCGAATGTGCATGTTGAGTGAGGCAGGAATCATAGCAACTAAAAACTTCGAAAGTACCAAGAATGTTATTTTAAAATTATATCTATTTTTTTAATGGTATATAGAACCTCGTGTTGAGTTGGTCGGCGAATTCCACGCTGTAATTCAAAGGCAAATGAATCATAATCGTGAGATTTTGTATTCTGTTCAAAAGATAAGTACAAGGTGACCTGGTTTGATAGAGGGTCAACTAGAGACTATATCTCCTTTATTAATTCCTGGAGTTCCAGTACTAGTTGTCAGCGAGTTTGTATATGCTGTATTTGGTAGGAAAATAATCTCATAATATGTTCCTAATATGCCTTACGGATTATGTACGCATTCTAAACTTTCAGGTAATTTCGTGCTTCTATTATTAACATACTCAGTAGATACTTTCGAGATTAGATCTGAACACGCTAAATCCGATTGATCAATAGTAGTCTTAAAATTCAGTTGAAGAAATCAGAGTAATTCACACGGTGCTGTTATAAACAGTTAGATAATCAGTATTTTTTTTTAATGAAAGTTAGAAACACCGTGCTGATTTAAAAATATTTACATTGAATGAAATAACAATATGTACAGTCATATGCATGATGAAAAACACCATGACTATAGACTTCATATTTAGAAATCAAACATTTTATATTGATAAAATCATGATCTGGTCAATGGTCGATCACCTAGTATAGTGCTCTTAAGCAGTGCGCTTCCACGACGTCGCGTGCAACAATATGACGCAGGACCGTGGTCTCGCACATGAATACTTAACATTTTGATCATTGAGCAGACATCCAACTGTGTTAGTGTCTAACTAGAATCAATCCGTTATATTTCACGACTACATCTATTATATATTTTGTCTACGGGTATCTATGTCGACATTGGTTAACATTTTATCAGCAGGAGAGGTACTAGATCTACATTTTCTACCCTTTTTATTAAAACGGAAAGATACGTGTTCAGTTCGTTTGGGGCATATTTATCGAACCAGAACTCGTATGACATTTGAACAAATACTAACGGGTTTTTTCGTGAGAATGAAATTGAAAGAAACTAGGTAAACTTCGATTAGAGCAATAATCTAATAGGAAATATAGTAATTGTAGTACACCAAATAATTAGTAATTATTACATTAATTTGTGTGTACTGGTTTTCACCTTAAAATTACGCAATGACTTATTGAGTAGTTGCGAATTCCTTGACTGGACGATAGGCACTACGTTTAATTATCTGATC